TTTTTTTGTTATAAAAAGTTAAGACACGTTTTATAATTTCATCCATTATTATAAGAACTAAAATACAAAATAATTATTATATGATCATACATAGACAAGAAAAATGAAGAAAAAGGAAATATTTATTAAAATACAAATAAAGTACAATCAATTTCCGTACATCTTTGCCCTTCTTTCATCTTTCCCGTGAATATTATAATCATTGTCTTGAGGGTCTCCAATAGCCTCTCATTCAACCAACTTCTTATTATTTAATCCTGCAAACAAAATATGAGTAAATTATTTTTAATAAAAGAAATATGCATGAAGTTGAATATATATGGTTTCATGCATCAAATTAGTTACCTTAGACGTCTTACTTAATAGTGAGGAGGAGGTGGTGAACTGTAGAAATAATGTGTGGGTGGCGACTTCTTCATTGGTGGTGGTGGGGACTTGTGTACGTAAGGTTTCTTTGGTGAAGGAGGTGGTGGAGACTTGTGAACTGGTGCTGGTGGAGGTGGAGACTTGTACACAGGCGTAGGTGGTGGTGGGGATTTGTATACATAAGGTTTCTTTGGTGGTGGTGGTGACTTGTGGACGGGGGTTGGTGGTGGTGGGGACTTGTATACATAAGGTTTCTTTGGTGGTGGTGGTGACTTGTGGANTTTCTTTGGTGGTGGTGGTGACTTGTGGACGGGGGTTGGTGGTGGTGGGGACTTGTATACATAAGGTTTCTTTGGTGGTGGTGGTGACTTGTGGATCGGGGTTGGTGGTGGYGGTGACTTGTGGACCGGGGTTGGGGGTGGTGGTGACTTGTATACATAAGGTTTCTTTGGTGGTGGCGGTGACTTGTGCACCGGGGTTGGGGGTGGTGGTGACTTNTTTGGTGGTGGCGGTGACTTGTGCACCGGGGTTGGGGGTGGTGGTGACTTATATACATAGGGTTTCTTTGGTGGTGGTGGAGACTTGTGAACTGGTGTAGGAGGTGGTGGTGACTTATAAACCGGTGGAGGTGGTGGGGGTGATTTGTAAACGGGTGGTGGGGGTGACTTGTAAACCGGAGGAGGTGGTGGTGGTGATTTGTAAACATAATGAGGAGGAGGTGGTGGTGGTGGGGATTTCTTAGGTGGTGGAGGTGAATGGGGGTAGTCAGCGGTGGTCAATGACGGCAAGCTTAAAGAAACGATAACCACCGCAAGGGTGATGAGAAGRGTGGCCATTGTGTGCCCTTTGGTTCCCATTTCTACTCAGAGCAATTGGGATCTGATTTATGATTTTGTGCAAGCCCTCTTCATCCTTTTTATAGCTAAATATTTCAACTTTTGCACTTAAAATAATAACAAATAAAAGTTACGTAGAAAATTATACCACCTACTACATTGACTAAATTGTAGTGTGAAAATCGATTGGTTCAAATATTAAATGATTCRATATTATCCTACTAAATTAATATTTTTAATTTGAAATTAATAAAATAAAACATTATAATGAAATTGGTTTAGTAACATGCTTTAAATCTTTAAGCGTTCTAATTATAACGCTTAAGTTTATAGAACCAAACTATAAAATGTTATATCTAAAAGTATTACAATACTGTAAACGTTTTTAGACATTTTAATAAGTTTTCTAAGCACTATTAAGTCAAGGTTATTAGCTATTTTATATGACAGACACCTATGTTTACAAAATACTTTTTCAAATATTGTCGTGTAAAATAATTAATACGACGCTGTAAGATAGAACATATGTTTTGTTTGATCATTTAAAATAAAGTTCCATAAAATATTCTAGTAGAACATTTAGATATTTTAGGTGTCTTATAAACCTAACGTTATCGTAATGAAAATACTGATGTTTATCTTAGCAGAGAGAATAAAGTTATGAACATGAAGGCCTATAAACACATTTAAATAAAGTTATAACACGAGTATTGTCGTTATGAAAAACAAATAACGCTTTAGATACAATGACTAAAAATGTAATTTAATTGTGATTCACATCTTTTTAAAAGTTTATTTATTAAAATTGTTTTATATATTCGATCACAGATCAAAATTTCTTAAATCAAAATACATATTAAATAAAAAATCTGTTTATTTATTTAAAAAAATTTAAATTGATATAAATGACTTCACATAATAAAATCTCAAGCTTATAAAAACAAAGAAAATCAATAGAAGTTTACATATCATTTAGATTGAACATTGAAATATGCAAATAAAGTATTGAAAGTTAAGTACGGTTAACTATGAATAAGTTTCAACAATTAAATCGATAACATACCCAAATTATTATTAAAGACGTAATAACTTGACCCCTGTTAAATAAAAAGGAAAAAGTCAATTGTTTGAATAACTAATGTTTTTTTTTAACATTTTGTAACAATTGTCTATGTTCAAAATGCTAATATTTTTTAATATTTATTTTATTATTATTTAAATTTTTTATAATTTAACTATATATTAATAATGTCATGTTAATCATACTTAAAATTCAAAACTTTGCTCGCATATTTTCAATGTCCAAATTCAAGAAAATATGTGAATTTCTTTTGATTTTTTTTGTTTTTCTAAATTTAAAATTTTATAATGCAAAAGTCATTTTGTCAATAGTTTTTTAAATTAAATATAAATACTTTTTTAATTTCTATTTTAATTTAAAAAAAATTAGTTTTTGATTGAATATATAAATATTTTTTAATAAATAAATTGTTTAAAAAATGTGAATCACAATAAATTAAAACGTTAGAGATTATTAATGTAAATAATTTATTACAAGAATTAAATTCAAATTTTGAGCAAACTAAATAGACAACCAATAAAATTCATTTTTACATAGGGTTTGTTTATTTACTTCTTAATAGTTCATTAAGAAACAACCTCTGAATCGTTAAAAGATGAATATTGTTTGGCAAAAAAAATCTGTCTTTTAGTGGTTCTAAAATCATCTGAATAATTTTGTGTCCTGAGCATCTCTTAACCATTCAGCACCCTAATTTCGTTGTAAATAATTACTAAATAATTATATTTTATTTTGTACTATATCATGAGAACCTCTTAATCATTTTGACCCTTTAATTATTTTGCACCAAATTATTCAGCAACTGCTAAACAACCCTTTAATGATAAGAAAAGAATTGTACGAAAGATTTATTCACCGACATACTTTTACCTAAAGTCCTAAACCACAATATTTAAACCAAAACATTATAATATGTGATATTTTTGGTCTTGATATATTTTATTATGAGCTTTTCCAGGCTGGTTTTATGGTTTCCACACAAAAGTAGTCTTCACACAAAAAAACTTATCAATGCTTGAGAAAAAAATATCAATTATAAGTAAAGAATCATTATTAACTTTTTTTTTTAATCGATTTTCTGGTGTCCTAGGTGTAGAGGAACCACACCAATCCATCCTAAACTTGATGGTTAAATTTTACTGCGGTGACGATACTATAGGGGAGGTCCTGCGAAAAACCAGCTCGACGCCAGGATGATAAAAAACTTCACACCTCCTGTTCTTCATACTTTTTTAATATGAAAAAAATGCAAAATAAAAGGTCGTCTTATTCAAAACCTCAATTATGACATCCCTTTTCTCCCACTTCACACCTTGGAACGCCCCGTTTTTATAGAGATAAAGACGCTTTGGCATCTTCTTAACCCGAAATGGCTGGGGAGAGCAAAGGTTCCTTTTTGCTTTTTAACTCGGATGAAATTCTAGATGTACAATCAAGTCATGAAAATACCTCGACAAACTAGATCCAATAGCAAACTAAAACATTTATTTTAAATGAGTAATGATGGTTTGACCTGATCGTTGGATCCAAAAAAGTATCCTCAGTAGATTACTAAAATATAAAATGAAAGTTTAAAATTTATAAAATCAATTGAGTTCTACTTCGACATTTCTTTATATTTACAGATTATAACATTGATTATATTAGTAAAATATTTTACAAATTTAATAAAATATTACTTTTTTTCTTATAAATTTGAAGAATTTCATACTTTCTCGTATCTTCTTAAGGTTTTGAATTCAGAATTCTTAAAATATTCATTTTCTTATTTTGAAAAATTCATTGAAGATTCTATAACTCCTACATTTAGGGGGCGTTTGGTTCGTAGAATAGAATTCGATGGAATTGGAATTTATCAAATGAATTTGACTTTGAGGGAATGAAATGTAATTTGAAGAAATTTGACCATGTCTTTTGATTGCGTTTGGTTGGATGGAATTGGAATGGAATTCTTAATGGAATTGGAATTTTTTTGTTTCTTTCACGGAATTCAGCGAGAAAATTACAGGCAAAAAAAACCAAAACCGATGGTGAAAACCAAAACTTTCGGGCTGGGTTCGGAGACATCTTATCGGGGACGGGGCGGGGATCAGGGACAAATTGGGGGATTTTAACGGGGACGGGGTTGGGGATGGTGATCATCGGCCCGGCCCGGCCTGATATGTGTATATATATTAGTTTTAATTTATATACATATATATATAATATCATTAAAAGAAAATAGTAACATTAAAATTTTAAAAACTTTTATCACTTACTTCAACAACCCAAATAAGACTCACGAAAAGTTTAGTTTATTTGTCTAATTATGAAATCGTGATTTTAGTTGTATGATGTTTGAAGTTCTGTTTAGTTTTATATTGTAATCTAATACATTGTTTGTAATTGGTTCGATTATGTTTGAGACATTTAAACTTGTATCTTTAAAAAAAAAATTGTAATTTACTTTTAGTTGTGAAAATTAACATATTGTAATTTTTTTAGATTTGTTTTGGGTTTCGGGTTCGGTTACAACCAACGGTGAACGGGAAAAARRRGRWTTTTTMCYTWAMSGGKTYCCCMAMSGGGRWYSGGRAAMCSCGGGGACCCGATGGGCATCMCCGATAAGATCCCCGACGGGGATCGGCGCAGTCACGGGGACGGTTTTAGTTATCGGTTTCTGGGACGGGGATACCAATAACCGGGCCGAACCTGGCCCGTTGCCATTCTTAGTTTTAAACGAGATCGAGCAAAGGAGATCGAGCATAGCAGAACAGAGCAAATCGAGATACATCGTCGATGAATGTATGAGGGCTAAGAAATTTGTCGGATTGGAATTTGAAATCCGTGGTATATGCGGTGGAATTGTGAAATCAATGAATTAAGGAATTTGTTGGAATTTGAAGGATTCATTCACATCTATTATGTGAACCAAATATGGCATTTGGAATTTGGTCAAAGATTTGGACATTACAATTCCTTCCAATTCCACCAAATTCTATGAACCAAACACCCCCTTAGGGTTTCAATTGAGCTTTTGCCAATATTTGTAGTTTTGTTGGTTTTATTTCATTTTTTTATTTATAACCCGTGAAATCAGATATTTACGAATTCTATCAAAATAATTTAATGGGTGGTGCTAATGGCACCCCTTATAGGGGGGTGTTGATTGTGTTGGAAATTGAAATGAGTTTAAAATTCAGAAAACATCAAATCAATTTTAAAAATATATTATATTTAATTATTATTAGTATTTAATATATATATATATATATATCAATTAATTAAGTTATATTATATAATTATATATATAATCTTTATATACTTTACATATATTATATAATATTTTTATTTATAT